GTAATGAAAGTATTGACATTGCACTAGGTTCTGCTCTGAGATTAGCAGTGCTGATCACAGCTACTCAGTTCAGGACATATGGAGTTACAATTATGTTTTAGGCTCAAAGAGAGTTATAGAGTGTTTTTTTTTTAAATCGATGTTTTGAAGGGTTAAGAAAACATTTTTTTTTTTTGCAGCCAGGACACTAAAATTAAATAAATGCTGATAAGGTCTCAAAGACAACTTGTATGTTGTTAGAAGAATTCATTAAATTAAAAAATTAATAGACATTCCTGTTTACTTTTAGAAAAAGTACAGGCAGAAATTGACAGAGTGATTGGTCAGAGGAGGGCAGCAAACCTGGCTGACCGAGAGTCCATGCCCTACACCAATGCTGTCATCCATGAGGTGCTGAAGATGGGCAACATCATCCCCTTGAATGTTCCCAGGGAAGTCGCAATGGATACCAATTTGAATGGATTCCACCTGCCAAAGGTAACTATGCACTGCCAGTTTTAGATACCTCGGTCCATTTGTTTTTACATCTTCCTATGAACCTAAAGTAAATGTGACATGTATTCCTGCCTCAGGATCACTTAGTTCAGCAGAGGCATATTATGTTTGCTAAAGTATTCATTACCTCCATGTATCTAAAGCAGATATTTACATACACAATGGGGACGATGACTCCTTGGTCAAATATGTTTTAGCAAAGCCTGGCTTTATTTGCTAAAGGCATTTCAGTATCTTCCTATGCTAATGTGGGCTCATAGCAGGCAGCAGTTCTCATGACTTTACCCCAGAGAGGAGGTTTTAAGACTAAAGACTGCCAGGCTGGGTTTAGAAAATACCTCTACACAGTCCTTGAAATACAGAATTTGAAATGTGAATGAAATAAAAGGAACTTACACTACCATCATGGTGAGACTGTGATTTCTAAAACAGTGACCAACAGGCTTAGTTCCAGTGTTAATTTACACACAACTGATTTATATCTCCTAAGAGAAGCCATTCCAAAATGCATTAGATACTACAGAATATTTGTGTGGTCTAGAATATTCTCTCCTTCAAAATGGCTTATCAACCTTTCAGAATAACCATCAATCTCATTTTGAGATTGGAAAATTGAGGGTTAAGAAAATTTGGTTTACATAAAATCTCTCTACTTTAAAATAGTAGGAGTGGGAATCCAGAACCAACCTTGTTCTGGTCATTCTGGACATCTCATACTTCCTCCATGGGACTTGCATTATTTTAACATGAAAAAAATCTCTTTCAATATTTCTCCATGAGTCCCTGTTAATTACCCATCTTTATGAACTGAATCATTATCACATCTCCCAGCTTTCTTCATACTCTTCACAGGGTTTCTTAAGACTTATACCCTCCATGCCCCACACAGTTAAAATTCCTGTTGTTCTTTTTATTTCACCATGGGTGATCAAGTCAAATATTTCTTGGCTGTGACAAAAGCCCCAAAGTTTCAGTTCAACATAGAAGTGTGTTGGTGAAAGAGCCAATCAGATCACATAGTTGTAGCCAGTAAGCAGAGGAAAAAGTCAACAGGAGGTTGGTTTTTTCCCCTCACTTCCACTGTTTTTATTTCATCCAGGCCATCAGCTTGTGGGATGGTGCCATCCACAGTCAGGGAAGGTCTAGTAACAGTAGTTGATTATCGTGGGGTTATCTTCACAGATACCAGAATATGTTGATGGAGACATACTAGAGAGTTGATAAAGAAAATGATGGCATGCTATTGGTAAGTCATGTTCTTGGGTCTAAGAAAGCAAGGGCAGCATGCACTATGGTGGCACTAGAAACCAATAATTGATATGAAAAAATCAAAAGAGTTTGAAAGAATTGGTCAAGTCGAGTCACTGAAGGGAGCATGAGTTAGTGGGAGGGAAAGGCACACTTTGGGAAGTCCTGGCACAATACTAGGGATCTTCATAAACTGATCTTGTTTAGCCTGATATGTAAATATTTTCCTAACCCTGCTGAGAAACTGGGTTCAGAAGCCTTCATGTTGAAGTCTAATAACTGAGAAGCACAGTTGAAAGACACAACATTTCTTTTCGTAGACCTGTCATTGTACTCACTGTGGGAAGTAGCTGAGTTGGTTTTTATTCCTTCCTGCCATATAATACTCCTTTAGATGCTAAAATGTGTTTAATTAGACCCTATATAGACTTCCTCCTATAGACTTGTGTTCAGCATTAAAAAGTAACCTAATGGGCTGGTAAATCCCTAGCAGGCACTTACATTCATTTTAAAAATTTCTAGACAAAGAGGAGGGCACTGAGACAGGTGGAGGGATCTCAATGTTGAATGCATATCTCAATGCCCATTTAGAGTGAATTTAAAATGGGAATTCAATCTAAATGCATGAATGCTAGAGAACCATACCCCTCCTTACATGTTTGTTCCCTATATCAATCTTTGACACTTTGCTGTCATTTCTAGGGCACCATGGTTCTGACCAACCTGACTGCACTGCACAGGGACCCGAGAGAGTGGGCCACCCCAGACACATTCAATCCAGAGCACTTTTCGGAGAATGGACAGTTTAAGAAGAGAGAATCTTTTCTGCCATTCTCAATGGGTGAGTTGTGATGAACAGGAGTGAGTTCAGTGCTTTACTTCAGCCCCTCCCTCTTTCTGTCTCCAGATAGTCCAATTTGGATCTCTTTTGATTTTCATTACAATCTTGCATTCCCTGGACTTCCCACTTCTTCAGACCCAGCCTAATTCTCACCCTTCCTTGCCTCTCCTGGAGATTCCAGCTTTCCTAATTCTGTTTTCCAAAACACTAATGATAGAAACCCATACTCTGGATCTGCTTCAGTAATGTGACTATGTGCCACCTTCATAAGGTTTTTTAATGTCCCAAGTTATTTTTTAGAGATGCATCTACAGAGAGAAATGGAGTAGATTTGTAATGAGAGCTGACAAAAGTATCAGAGATAAGGACATTCCCACTGTTACAACTCTCACATAAACAACAAGGTAATACCTATAATATATGTATACAGACAACCTGGTACAGGCCTTGTGTTTGCCATTTTAGTCTCTGTGAGCTTTTGTGAGTTCCTACTTAGCTGATTCAGTAGGACATGTTTTTCTTGTATAATCCATCCCTTCTGACTTCTACACTCTTTCTTCCCCCTCTTCCATGGGATTCTGGGATTTGTGAGGGGAGAGACCCAACTGAGACATCTAATTTAGACTATGTCTCTCTCTGCATAATGTTGGGCCGTGAGTCTCTGCACCCAATCCCATATGGTGCCAGAGGAAGCCTCTCTATGACACCTGGATGAGGCCCTGATCTATGAGTACAGCAGGATATCATTAGGAATCCTTTCATTGGTTTTCATTCTTTTTTTTTATTTCTTGTGTTTCTGATCATTAAAATGTATACTCTCTAAGACATGTTTTCAGGAGCATGTAGAGATAACAGCTACAGGTAGTTTAGGCTTTACCATACTTTGGGTATGCAGGGTGCCAGATAGACTGAATCTGAAACACAGTTACTGGCCCTTTAAAAGTTCATTTTCTTGTTAACACTTTCTATTTCTATGTATCAACTTCTCTATGATCCACCCAAAAGTAGATTTATTATAACTTGCGCTATCCCCACAAGCACTACTTCCTCAAGTTCAGGGATTTCTTCACTGAAAACTATGGAATTGGTTAGCATGACTTATAGATGTGAAAAGGGGGTAAAAAATGAGGGAGAATTGTGGATCCTAAAAGGGATAGGAACTCCACAGGAAGACCAACAGAGTCAACTAAACTGGACCTTTGGGGTTCTCAGAGTCTAAACCACCAACCAAAGACCACACATAGGCTGGACCTAGGCCTCCCCTCATGTGGGTCCTAAACAAAAAAAGCAGGGGGTATCCCAAAATCTGTTACTTGTATATTGGATAAGCTACGCTACTTTCTCTGGCCTCAGTGGGAGAAGAAGCATATATGCTGGCAGAGACTTAAAGTGCCTGAGTAGGGGAGAGGTGGGGAGAAGGATGAGGAGGGAAAGGGAAGAATGTTGGAGGAGTGACCAGGATGGGAGCAGTGAGCAGGCTGTAAAGTGAATAAGTAAAAAAAATAACTTAAATTTTAACAAAAGAATGAGATCAATTACACTTATAGTCTACATTATTTTATGTGTCTTGCTGTAATTCTTAGTCACAGTAGTTCCAAGTCTAGCAGTGACACTACTTTTTTCCTAAAACAGAGCATTGATGCTTTCCTTACAGAAATGACAAAGGTGAGGATAAGCAGCTGGGTCTTCCTGGGAATAAAAATATGGTGGTTTAGAAGATTCCAATTGATCGTGCACCATGCTGCCATATATTTAAGAGTATAACACAGCACTGATTCACTACTAGATGAAGCTCTATGCCTGTTTCCCAGGTGAGCCTCTTCTGAGGATTATGGAGACTCCATCACCAAGATGCTCCAAGCTCTCAGAGCGCAAT